ATCTGGGTCTACATCATGATCAGGCAGTGGTGTATTGCGACAGTTTGAGTGCAATATGCTTGGCCAAGGATCAAGTCCACCATGAGAGGACTAAGCACATCGACGTGAGGTATCATTTCTTGAGGACAGAGAAGAGGATTAAGGTGAAGAAGGTTGGCACCGCGGATAATCCTGCTGAGATGTTCACGAAGCCAGTTCCAACACGGCTTGGACTTGCTGAATGTCTTGAGTGGGTGACTCTGCCCTGCGGGGCATTGATGGCCGGAAAGAGAGAGAAGGAGCAGAGTACATCAGAGATTTCAGAGGAAGAGGATTCAAGTCAAGGTGGAGATTTGTTGATGTGACTTGAATCGGACTATCAGCCGCTACGGCTGGTGGTCGGGGGTCTCGCTGTTATTTGGGTTCAGGTTCTGGGCCTGGTCTGTAACCGTTTCCTTTGCCAGATTGGATTAGGTTTAGACCCACATGGAGAAGTACTATAAATACTTCTCATACTCCTCTGTAATATGTAATCTCCTCGATATAGTGAAACTGGCTCTCTCTCGCCCGTGGACGTAGTTAACACACATCGTGTTAGTGAACCACGTAAATCATGTGTCTGTGTTTTTCGATTCTCGCTTTAGTATTCTTGCTTTGTCGATTCCGGCGATTTCCCGATCCGTAGCAGAGCGTTTATAACAGTGTTAATATGTAGTAAAATTTTAATCTTTTCAATTAATGTATATTCATGATTGTGGAAGGTTTCAATTGTATTTAAGTGCTACAATTCTTCAGTCTTGCTTCTAAATTCCCTTTTCATATTTTATTAGGAAATAATATGCATGATTAGATGTGCTAAAATTCTTATATTTTCATCACCACTATTTATTTATTAGTAGATAAATATATGAAATTGAAAATAATTTGGAATTTCAATTTTTTAATTTATCTGTTGCTAACGTGGCAGTGAGCTGGAGCGTTGACCGTTAGTCAACAATGTTGACCATCTAAATTGATGGTCAAAACATGCATCCGCCCAAGCTAGACTATATTGTGTATAGTTGAGGCCAAGATAACAATTTTTAAAACCACTAGCCAAAAGTAGATTATTGGGTATAGTTCGGGCCAATTTAAGGTATTAACCCATATTATTGATAAGCCTATTTTTTTCTTCAGGGTATTGATATTTGTGTGCAAATTCCCAAGTTGGAAAATTAGGATTTTCAACATATGTTTCTTGATCATAGATTTAGACTACCAAGTTTAATTTCATCAAACAATAGAGATTGACAAAAAGTGCGGCCAAATGAAATTTCTTTCATGTTTGAATTACTAATCTCAATTTAAATTTACTTAAATTTGATGTGGATACAACAAAATTAACCTTAAATTTACTTAAATTTGATGTGGATACAACAAAATTAACCTTAAAATTTCATTCCGCATATGTTGGTTGCCAACTTTTTCCGTATTTGGGGTATTGATATCTACTTGACTCACATGATAAGTTACCCGCAAGGGTTTTAACTAAAACTTCCCAAATATGTAGCTCTTTCAACTTTCAATTAAAAATAGCATGTATTACTTAACTCTAATCAGAAATCTAATATACAATTTGGGTACAGGGGATTGGTTAATTACGAAGGTAAATCTATTTGATAGAGTAGTAACCCAATTAAAATGTTATCCTTGCAAATGCGGATTATTGCCCTCTCATCCTGGCCATTACATCAATGTATGTCGTTCATACAATGGTAAAGATACATCTTTATTACTTTATAATTAATCCAACCATTTAAAATAAATTAATCACGATTAGTTAAACAACCATCAAATTTGCAGGAGACAAGAGCATTTCTCCTCATATGGAGCAACCTTGATGCTAGCAAATCCAAGAAATACGTAAGTCATTAATTTTAGACCAAAGTGAAATTCACGACAATTTACTAAACAAAAAAGAGATTAGTTATCATTTTCTTTTTTTTTTAAGTGACAGAGATGCACCACATTCTCCTGTGAAAGCACAAAAGATCCGAACAGCTAATCCAAATCAAAATGTACAAGAGCTAAATCAATTAAAAATTAATAAGGGAGAGGAGGTAAGTATTTGTTTCAATTAAAAACTCATTACCTATCAAATACTAACACTTTCTGCAATACATAGCAAAATATGTATTCCATCAAACGCATAGTTATCAGAGTTAAGAATGGATGGTGTTAAAATGGATGGAAAGTGTGTCCATAAAATTCGAAGAAGAGTGAGACGAGTACTTTAGTGGAAACTGTACATATACCCACCACATGTTTTGCTTTTGAATGTCAATAATCTAAATTCACAATGCTAATGCATGAGAACAAGAATGAGACTGTTTAACGGATATGATACTAGAGATGATGATGTGTTGTTGAGAAAAAGGAAGACTTTTTCGCGAGGGAGATATAGGTACGGTGATGGGGAGCAAGAAAATATCATGGATGTAGTTGATTATCTGGACGAAGTGGATTCTACTCCAATAAAATAGATGATTTGTATTTGTCATACATTACCATTAAATTTTGGTGCTTGACTCGCTAAAACACAACACCTAACAAAGGCCAAGTGTAACCAATGAAAGGGACTGCAGTATAGTGGCTCAAGTGATAAATATCGAATCCACGGGTCTCTAGAGTTACTATTACTCAGCTTCAGTTTATTATTTAGCAAACCAAATTAAGATGAAAGAACTAAAACTACTCTAGCAAACTACAGTTAAAGTTAATCTAATTACAGGTTGGGAACTCACTTAGGTATGATTCCCCCTAGCCACTAGCCAGATTAACGATTGATGATCTCTAACCTGTTTCACTTTCATTCACAATGCGGAGAATCCTTGACTAGATCTTGAGTCTCGACTAAAGGAACAAGGCCCTCTTGAGTCAATTGCCTAGAGGGACGTATCCTTCTCTAGAACAACTGATCAAGGCGTTCTGAACTAGACTCCCTCTATCGAAAGAGGTTCTCAATCGATACAAAGCAGTGAATCAACCCTCGACTAAAGCAATCGATCCACTACTATCAATCTATGGTGCTCTATTGACCTAATCAGGTATTCCCTCTCATAGGATCAAAGCAGAATCAATAATCTCGACTAAAGCAGAATTGAATCATGAAAACATGCATAGATTGAATATGAACTCAAGATTATCCAGTCAGAGTACTCATACAATCATCCAATCAAACAAACATAGCTAGGGTTCCTCAAAACCTAAGTGAAGGGAAGTTACTCCATAGAGAAGAGAGAGACTGCAGTAAGAATCTTCAGATGATCAGTCTTCAAGTCCGGGCTTGTTCCTCGAGCTTCCAAGGCAAAGAAATCCTCCAATTCTACTCCAAGAATGCCCTCAAATCGCCCTCTCTCTCTTTGGTTCGTCCCTTGGGTGTTTGGGATCCAAAACCCAGCTCTCCTCCTCCTTTGGCTCGAATTTGGGTTAAAAACAGCCATTCCCGACTCGCACGGCCAGGGTGCACGGCCGTGCACATCACCATTCTGGCCGTGCACCTCAAAACGCGGCGTATCAATTAGTTGAACCTCAGCCAACTCGCACGGCCAAACTGGTCACTTGCACGACCGTGCGTGGCCACGCACAATCCCGTGCGTGCCCACGCACAATCCCGCACGGCCAAACTGGTCACTTGCACGGCCGTGCGTGGCCACGCACAATCCCGTGCGTGCCCACGCACGATCCCGCACGGCCAAACTGGTCAATTGCACGGCCGTGCCGGTTGTGGGTGTGCCCGTGCGACTTCCTCAGAACCTCGCCATGCGTCCGATCCTCGTCCCATCGACCCCAGACTCGCTCCTAAGCCTTCATTCACGTCCTAGGACCTGAAATATCACAAACAAGCACAACCTACCGTGAAATCGGCCTAAAGCACGAGAATCAACACCTCAAACGGTGTAAGAATGGGGGTAAAAACATGTGTAAATGACGGTCTATCAAACTCCCCCACACTTAACCGTTTGCTTGTCCCCAAGCAAACCTAACTCAAACCAATGCAACTCTCCAGACCTCTATAGCAACAAACACCCCAGATCGTAGGTAGAGGACTTCCTAGATCATTTAGCAACTTACGAGGTCAACCGAAACACAAGTCATCTCATAGCTTCTTCGGCGAGAGCACTAGTATCGAGTCGGCATCATGGCAAATAGTGAACAGAGGACAAATGAATTGTGGATGAAGAGATTCTCAAAAACAAAGGATCATGGACTCACATTTTTCAAGGTGCTCTATTTTCTTCTTGAAGATAGTTGGAACCCCTTTTCTTTCTGTTTTGCTTGTTTTCTGTTATTTTTTTTCCTTTTTTTTTTCTTTCAAGGGTCCCAACCTGCTCTTACCGGCCATGCCAGGAGCGGATGTCTCGAGCCTCGTGCGGGGGAAAGACATGTAAGGGGGCTGGAGGTAGTAGGTGGAAATTGGGAACGAATTCCCGTCTCCCCTTACACACTTTCGCCCTATTCGCACGGGAGACGTTATTTTGAAGCACATTTTCGAGCACCTGTTACTTTCAAAACATGATACAAGAGTCCATGACAGGTAGAGAATCCACAACACCACACAATTCAAGGGTCCTAAGATCACTAATTCACTCAATCAACCAACTCAATATGAAGAAGACATGAGACTTCTTAAATGCATCAACATCCTCCATAGTGCTACACTACCTCCCTAGGTTGCATATTACTGTAAAGACTGTCAATTCAAAGCATACTGAGCAGGCAATTGCAAGGAAACACGTACTTGGAGCCCTCAAATTTAAAAATTTGGACAGCGGACTAGGCTCCAAGCACACAAACAGCCAAACATTCACCCGCATACATAATCGAACATCCCCCCACACTTAAGCACGACATTGTCCTCAATGGAGGAAAGATAAGGAGGGTAGAACGAAGTTACCAGATCAAGGGTGAATGATGATGAACGGGTCAGGCGGTGCATTCCAGAAAGAGAGAGTAATCAGAACACAAACACCACACAAAATCTCACAAAGGTTGAGTTATTGACTCTAAAATCAAATAACAAAACTGACTCAACCGAGGAGAAATAGAGAAAGAAATGCAAACCGACTGGTTGGGTTGCCTCCCAACAAGCGCTTCTTTCACGTCGTGAGCCGGACGATGGCTCCTAAGTTTCGGTCCATGCTAGAACCTCCTTGAAGTTGAGGTTCTCGTCGATGAGGTGGAGTCTCAAGTCATGAGCATGTGATGTGGCAGGTGATGAAGGCTCATGTACTTGATGCAGATGAAGTCTCCACCCTCGAGACCTCTTCTTCTCTTCTCTCGTCTCATTGCCCCAAACCAGATATGACAGTATCGATTGGCCACCATCGCGTCCACCAAGAGGGACTGATGTCGATGTGGCCTTGGTCTGGCAAAGAGACACTGCAAATGGGTCCTTGCTAAGCAGTTCCTCGAAGTTTGGTGGAGATATCACATGTAACTCATGGCCGGTGCAAGCCTCTTCCACCTCAACTTCGTCCTCAGCCTGGACACCAATCGCCTCTTCAACCTCCCTTCCTTCTTCATGTGGTATCACCCCTGGGAAATGATCAAGAACTCCTCCAGCTTCACTTTCGTCATCCTCCACAACTTCTTTCTGCACCCTTTCTTGCTCTTCTTCTTCTAGCACGGATTGGAGAGCAAGTTGCCAAGCAATTTCTTTCATGAGATCTTCTTGCATCTCCTCACTCATGCCCGCCTCTTCAAAGCTCAGTTTGGGGTGTGGGAAGGTGTGGTCGGCTACGACATGACAGGCCTGATCATGATCATCACGGGAGCTCTCCGTGACAACTTCAGTGTGTTCCACAATGCCCTTGTAGCCTTCTTCTTCCTCCTCCTCTTCTTGTATGGTAGCAGAAGGGTGATCTGGAGCAGGTTGCGCCCAAGATCGCTCAAGATCATCGACGCTCTTCTTAAGGCTCAGGAGGATCTCATCTGTTTCACGATAGGCCTGGACACACTGATCCATCCTGGAGCATATTCTCTCACAGTCTCGAGCATACTTCTCCATGAGCAACTCCAGTGCCGATGGCCCTTCTGGTTGTGGGAGAAATTCTTCTTGATAATGAGGTTGTTCTTGATATGCCCAGGGGTCCGGTTGTTCTCCGTAGTAAGGGGGTTGGTACTGGAACCCGAATCCATAGTCTTCTCCGCCTTGATTGCTCCAGGGAGTCTCGGGGTAATACCACCCAGATGGTGGTGGATACCCCCAATGATTGGAGAAGCCATTAGGATCCATGATTCAGATCTGCACCAACAAAAACAAAAACACCCAAGTGAAAAGCAAGGGTGGAAAAGAAAAGAAAAACGCTAAAGTAACAAACTTCTGCCTTTCCTAATACTCTAGAAAGTCCCCGGCAACGGCGCCAAAAACTTGACTCGCTAAAACACAACACCTAACAAAGGCCAAGTGTAACCAATGAAAGGGACTGCAGTATAGTGGCTCAAGTGATAAATATCGAATCCACGGGTCTCTAGAGTTACTATTACTCAGCTTCAGTTTATTATTTAGCAAACCAAATTAAGATGAAAGAACTAAAACTACTCTAGCAAACTACAGTTAAAGTTAATCTAATTACAGGTTGGGAACTCACTTAGGTATGATTCCCCCTAGCCACTAGCCAGATTAACGATTGATGATCTCTAACCTGTTTCACTTTCATTCACAATGCGGAGAATCCTTGACTAGACCTTGAGTCTCGACTAAAGGAACAAGGCCCTCTTGAGTCAATTGGCTAGAGGGACGTATCCTTCTCTAGAACAACTGATCAAGGCGTTCTGAACTAGACTCCCTCTATCGAAAGAGGTTCTCAATCGATACAAAGCAGTGAATCAACCCTCGACTAAAGCAATCGATCCACTACTATCAATCTATGGTGCTCTATTGACCTAATCAGGTATTCCCTCTCATAGGATCAAAGCAGAATCAATAATCTCGACTAAAGCAGAATTGAATCATGAAAACATGCATAGATTGAATATGAACTCAAGATTATCCAGTCAGAGTACTCATACAATCATCCAATCAAACAAACATAGCTAGGGTTCCTCAAAACCTAAGTGAAGGGAAGTTACTCCATAGAGAAGAGAGAGACTGCAGTAAGAATCTTCAGATGATCAGTCTTCAAGTCCGGGCTTGTTCCTCGAGCTTCCAAGGCGAAGAAATCCTCCAATTCCACTCCAAGAATGCCCTCAAATCGCCCTCTCTCTCTTTGGTTCGTCCCTTGGGTGTTTGGGATCCAAAACCCAGCTCTCCTCCTCCTTTGGCTCGAATTTGGGTTAAAAACAGCCATTCCCGACTCGCACGGCCAGGGTGCACGGCCGTGCACATCACCATTCTGGCCGTGCACCTCAAAACGCGGCGTATCAATTAGTTGAACCTCAGCCAACTCGCACGGCCAAACTGGTCACTTGCACGGCCGTGCGTGGCCACGCACAATCCCGTGCGTGCCCACGCACAATCCCGCACGGCCAAACTGGTCACTTGCACGGCCGTGCGTGGCCACGCACAATCCCGTGCGTGCCCACGCACGATCCCGCACGGCCAAACTGGTCAATTGCACGGCCGTGCGGGTTGTGGGTGTGCCCGTGCGACTTCCTCAGAACCTCGCCATGCGTCCGATCCTCGTCCAATCGACCCCAGACTCGCTCCTAAGCCTTCATTCACGTCCTAGGACCTGAAATATCACAAACAAGCACAACCTACCGTGAAATCGGCCTAAAGCACGAGAATCAACACCTCAAACGGTGTAAGAATGGGGGTAAAAACATGTGTAAATGACGGTCTATCAGTGCTAAATGAAGTGCAGGAAAACAAAGAAGAGACTATCGAAATTCTAGAGGAAAAAAATAGGCAATTGGTAATGGAGATAAATGTTTTACAAAGGAGATGTATATATTGTTATTAGTGGAGATGATGTTGTTACTCATGGTCAAGGAAACACAAATAAGTCTAAAGAAAACATTTAGTAATCTTGATAATGAGGAGTAAATAAAATGTTGATTTTCATTTTTTGTATAAGTCGGTTACCTTGCATGAGGTTTGTCTTTCGTTTTTTACATAATTTTAGTTTATGCGTTTGTTAGAATGTAGGAAAACACTATAATGTTGATTCTTTTGAATGGTTAAAGACCTATAACAATTTGGATTCTTTTATACTACCAATCCATTTGAATAATTTAGATTTTATTATACTACCAAATATACATGTATCTCGCATGGTACTGAACTAACGCGATTGAAGATTGTATTCGGCCAACTGGCCGGGTCCCTGACTAGTATTGGATATGGACAGTAGCGGAGATAGGTTCAGCAAGAAGGAGATATTATCCACTCTCAATTTTAAAATATAGGTAAAATTACATATAAATATTTTACAAATTTAGGAAATAGACTAGTTGTTAAGGGCTGAGCCCCCTCACCAATTACCACTATTCAAAATCAGCCTATCCAGTGGCGGACCCATGAATTTTACATAGGGGTGTCCTCTTTCAAAAAATAAATTAAAACAAAAATAATAATTAATAAAAATTAAATAATTCTTAAATAAGAAAATGTCCAACTCGTACAAGTCAATGATGTATTTTTCATATTCTGAAAAAATTGTAAAATACACTTGGTGTCTACACTGCTCAACAAAGTTGTTTCGGTATATCCTACTAGACAATCATTCAATAACTGAAGCATATTCGACTTTTAAATTTGTTCTTGATTTAACTCAAAGCTGAAAAGACACTTTTAACACTTGTCGTACAACCATAAAATTAGTATAAATTAAGTGTAACTTGTAAATAGATTAATTATTAGGTTTTGAAAATAATTAAAGATAAATAGAAAATAAGGTTTTGCTATTACACACTCTTCAGAATAGAACAACAAAAAAGTTGTAGCCTAATGGAGATTATATTTATTAATAATAGTAGTGTCCCGGTTTGAATTACCCAAACTACCACTTATATTCCCATACGTAAACTACAAACGAGAGTAGGATAATAGTTTTTTCAAATTTTAGGGTGTACCGGACTATTAATTATAATTTTTGTCCATACATAAATTACCACCGGTATTTTTTTTGTACACATCAAAATAAATTACCATCGGTGATTGATGAGGGTGAAAAGCGATGGGTAAATAGCTTGGTTGGACAATTCATGGATCGTCCGGCTTCCTTGTCTTCAATTCATTTCTGGGCGAATTGGATCTGGGGGCGAGACGGGATGGTGCGAGTGTCGTGGTTGGGGGATCGATTGGTGCTGTTTCAGTTTCCTAATGCTGAAGTCTGTCGTTGGGTATTTGAAGGTGGTCCATGGCATCACCGCGAGAACATGGTCCTGCTTAGGAAATGGGAGCCAGGTATCCAACCTCTAGCCATCGATAATTCTGCTGTTCCAGTCTGGGTTCGTCTATCGAATTTGTCGTCTGAGTTAACAAAGCCGGACGATCCATGAACTGTCCAACCAAGCTATTTACCCATTGCTTTTCACCCTCATCAATCACCGATGGTAATTTATTTTGATGTGTACAAAAAAAATACCGGTGGTAATTTATGTATGGAAAAAAATTATAATTAATAGTCCGGTACACCCTAAAATTTGAAAAAACTATTATCCTACTCTCGTTTGTAGTTTACGTATGAGAATATAAGTGGTAGTTTGGGTAATTCAAACCGGGACACTACTATTATTAATAAATATAATCTCCATTAGGCTACAACTTTTTTGTTGTTCTATTCTGAAGAGTGTGTAATAGCAAAACCTTATTTTCTATTTATCTTTAATTATTTTCAAAACCTAATAATTAATCTATTTACAAGTTACACTTAATTTATACTAATTTTATGGTTGTACGACAAGTGTTAAAAGTGTCTTTTCAGCTTTGAGTTAAATCAAGAACAAATTTAAAAGTCGAATATGCTTCAGTTCTTGAATGATTGTCTAGTAGGATATACCGAAACAACTTTGTTGAGCAGTGTAGACACCAAGTGTATTTTACAATTTTTTCAGAATATGAAAAATACATCATTGACTTGTACGAGTTGGACATTTTCTTATTTAAGAATTATTTAATTTTTATTAATTATTATTTTTGTTTTAATTTATTTTTTGAAAGAGGACACCCCTATGTAAAATTCATGGGTCCGCCACTGGATAGGCTGATTTTGAATAGTGGTAATTGGTGAGGGGGCTCAGCCCTTAACAACTAGTCTATTTCCTAAATTTGTAAAATATTTATATGTAATTTTACCTATATTTTAAAATTGAGAGTGGATAATATCTCCTTCTTGCTGAACCTATCTCCGCTACTGTCCATATCCAATACTAGTCAGGGACCCGGCCAGTTGGCCGAATACAATCTTCAATCGCGTTAGTTCAGTACCATGCGAGATACATGTATATTTGGTAGTATAATAAAATCTAAATTATTCAAATGGATTGGTAGTATAAAAGAATCCAAATTGTTATAGGTCTTTAACCATTCAAAAGAATCAACATTATAGTGTTTTCCTACATTCTAACAAACGCATAAACTAAAATTATGTAAAAAACGAAAGACAAACCTCATGCAAGGTAACCGACTTACACAAAAAATGAAAATCAACATTTTATTTACTCCTCATTATCAAGATTACTAAATGTTTTCTTTAGACTTATTTGTGTTTCCTTGACCATGAGTAACAGCATCATCTCCACTAATAACAATATATACATCTCCTTTGTAAAACATTTATCTCCATTACCAATTGCCTATTTTTTTCCTCTAGAATTTCAATAGTCTCTTCTTTGTTTTCCTGCACTTCATTTAGCACCAAAATTTAATGGTAATGTATGACAAATACAAATCATCTATTTTATTGGAGTAGAATCCACTTCGTCCAGATAATCAACTACATCCATGATATTTTCTTGCTCCCCATCACCGTACCTATATCTCCCTCGCGAAAAAGTCTTCCTTTTTCTCAACAACACATCATCATCTCTAGTATCATATCCGTTAAACAGTCTCATTCTTGTTCTCATGCATTAGCATTGTGAATTTAGATTATTGACATTCAAAAGCAAAACATGTGGTGGGTATATGTACAGTTTCCACTAAAGTACTCGTCTCACTCTTCTTCGAATTTTATGGACACACTTTCCATCCATTTTAACACCATCCATTCTTAACTCTGATAACTATGCGTTTGATGGAATACATATTTTGCTATGTATTGCAGAAAGTGTTAGTATTTGATAGGTAATGAGTTTTTAATTGAAATAAATACTTACCTCCTCTCCCTTATTAATTTTTAATTGATTTAGCTCTTGTACATTTTGATTTGGATTAGCTGTTCGGATCTTTTGTGCTTTAACAGGAGAATGTGGTGCATCTCTGTCACTTAAAAAAAAAAGAAAATGATAACTAATCTCTTTTTTGTTTAGTAAATTGTCGTGAATTTCACTTTGGTCTAAAATTAATGACTTATGTATTTCTTGGATTTGCTAGCATCAAGGTTGCTCCATATGAGGAGAAATGCTCTTGTCTCCTGCAAATTTGATGGTTGTTTAACTAATCGTGATTAATTTATTTTAAATGGTTGGATTAATTATAAAGTAATAAAGATGTATCTTTACCATTGTATGAACGACATACATTGATGTAATGGCCAGGATGAGAGGGCAATAATCCGCATTTGCAAGGATAACATTTTAATTGGGTTACTACTCTATCAAATAGATTTACCTTCATAATTAACCAATCCCCTGTACCCAAATTGTATATTAGATTTCTGATTAGAGTTAAGTAATACATGCTATTTTTAATTGAAAGTTGAAAGAGCTACATATTTGGGAAGTTTTAGTTAAAACCCTTGCGGGTAACTTATCATGTGAGTCAAGTAGATATCAATACCCCAAATACGGAAAAAGTTGGCAACCAACATATGCGGAATGAAATTTTAAGGTTAATTTTGTTGTATCCACATCAAATTTAAGTAAATTTAAATTGAGATTAGTAATTCAAACATGAAAGAAATTTCATTTGGCCGCACTTTTTGTCAATCTCTATTGTTTGATGAAATTAAACTTGGTAGTCTAACTCTATGATCAAGAAACATATGTTGAAAATCCTAATTTTCCAACTTGGGAATTTGCACACAAATATCAATACCCTGAAGAAAAAAATAGGCTTATCAATAATATGGGTTAATACCTTAAATTGGCCCGAACTATACCCAATAATCTACTTTTGGCTAGTGGTTTTAAAAATTGTTATCTTGGCCTCAACTATACACAATATAGTCTAGCTTGGGCGGATGCATGTTTTGACCATCAATTTAGATGGTCAACATTGTTGACTAACGGTCAACGCTCCAGCTCACTGCCACGTTAGCAACAGATAAATTAAAAAATTGAAATTCCAAATTATTTTCAATTTCATATATTTATCTACTAATAAATAAATAGTGGTGATGAAAATATAAGAATTTTAGCACATCTAATCATGCATATTATTTCCTAATAAAATATGAAAAGGGAATTTAGAAGCAAGACTGAAGAATTGTAGCACTTAAATACAATTGAAACCTTCCACAATCATGAATATACATTAATTGAAAAGATTAAAATTTTACTACATATTAACACTGTTATAAACGCTCTGCTACGGATCGGAAAATCGCCGGAATCGACAAAGCAAGAATACTAAAGCGAGAATCGAAAAACACAGACACATGATTTACGTGGTTCACTAACACGATGTGTGTTAACTACGTCCACGGGCGAGAGAGAGCCAGTTTCACTATATCGAGGAGATTACATATTACAGAGGAGTATGAGAAGTATTTATAGTACTTCTCCATGTGGGTCTAAACCTAATCCAATCT